ACAGTCAGTGCCAGGCAGGCTGGGAGTATACATATTAGAAAGTGTTAACACATTATGGCAAAACTACAGTGATTCAGTGATGATGAGACCAGGTGCGATGAGATGATTCCTCGAGACATTGATGACCTTGCCTCCGATGATTGACAACTTCTTTGTTGACACAGTCGACAACTCCAATCCAACATTGGATATTCCAAATCCAAGATGCAGGATTAGAACAGCGATCAAAGCAAAATAATCGCATCACTGGTGACACACACACTGGATAACTATTACAACTTAAGTGGTATAACATCCTACAAATGGCGACTACAAAGAAAAGTTGATGCAGAGTGTCGATCTTTCCAAGAGAAATGGACAAATGATTATTTTTTGTTGAAGTCAAAAGCAAATCTGTGTGCCCAGTTTGTGGCAATGTTTTGGCAGTAACAAAAAAAAAAAAGCCAATCTGGAGTATCATTACAGCTCAAAACATGCTAAACTCAATGAATCTGGATAAAATCAATCCTCTTTAGCAGACTTTGGAACCACACAAGGCCTCATTGTGACAGAGACAACGTTATTCAGATGAGTTGTGTAGTGAGCAAGCTAATTGCAAAGAAGGTGGGGCCGCATGTAGAGAGGGAATTTGTGAAAGTGCATGGGGGCTGCTGCGGAGCTGTTAGTCCCAGAAAAGTAAAAACAAATTGTTTCAGAGGGTTAGTTTGTCTCTGAGAACCGTCTCAGATCAGATTATTGATTTAGCACAAGATATTGAAAAAACACTGAAGGATTCTGCAGATTTCCTGTTTTTCTCTCTGGCTTGCGGGATAACTGCAGAGTTTGACACTCGAGAGGAACTGCTGTCACTGGAAGCCATGCAGGGCACTACAAGATGTGAGGACTTGTTTGAGAGACTTGTTTTATCAATGAAAAAATTTGAGCTAACATTTGAAAAGTTAAGTGGCCTTACAATAGATGGAGCTCCAGCCATGGGTTGGCTCACGAAAAGGGTTAATTGCATTTGTCAAAAAAAGAACTGAATCGTCTGTCTGGGCCCAAGTGATTTAATTATATGCCACTGCATCATACACCAAGAAAATCTCTGTGCACAATCATTGCAACTCAACAATGTGATGTCAACAGTAGTGTCATGTATGAATTCTGTCAAAAGCAGAGGGTTTAACAGCCGAAGGGAGTAACTGAATGATCTTGTTTATCACTGTGAATTGTGGTGGTTGAGTCCTGGGAGCATGCTCATGAGGTTTTAGAAACTGCAGGATGAAGTCAAGCAGCTCATGGAGATGAAGGGAAACCTGTCAGGGAACTCAATGATAGCAAGTGGCTGTGTGATTTAGTGTTCATGGTGGACATTATCAAGTACCTTTCAGAGCTGAATGTCAAGATGCAGGGCCCCAACCAGCTTCTCAGCTCCCTGCTTTCAAACATGAAATCATTTGAAGCTAAATTAAGGCTGTAGAAAGTGCAACTTGAAATAACACAGTGCATTTCCCTGCTCTGGAAGGACAAAATCCTTCCATGACACTTGAATATGCTGGTGAATGTGGGAAACTAATTGAGGCATTTAATGAAAAATTCAAGGATGTGAAAAGTAAACAAATGGAAGGGAACATCTTTGCTACACTGTTCAATGTGGAACCAGCTGATGTGCCTGATCATTCAGCTGCAAAGCGATGATGACCAAAAACTAGGTACAACCACCTCCCACTGCTTGAGCTCTACAAACGTTACATAAGCAATGATGAATTTCCCACTTTGAGGAGACATGCATTGATATATGCACCTGTGTTCAGAACAACTTACTGCTTTAAGCAGGTCTTTTCAAAACTTACCATTGCAGAGTCGACTGCGCTCCAGACTGACGAACACAAACCTGGACAAGCAGTTGTGAGTAGCAACATCATCAGTACAGCTGACGTCACAGCCTCACCACAGAGAAGCAGGTCCAGCCCTCACATCAGGGGTGAGTTAATCAAATGTTTGCCCAAATAGAGCAGGCTAATTTTTAAAGTTGATAATTTTGTATGGCCCGAAAATTATGTTATAAATGCCACATGGCCCTTGGCAGAACAAAAGTTTCCCACCCCAATACAGATTAACACTCCTTTGGAAATGACTCTTTTGTCCTGTAATCCAATTCCCACCTTCATATAATCTTCCTTATGTTCCCTCCTTTTTTTTTTTTTTTTTTTGAGTACATTTATTAAAGATGGGGAGACAGTGAAACAAGGAGGGGCTCAGGCAACAGGACAGAGACCAGGCGGGGCTGCTGTCAGCTCACTGGAGAGAGAGAAGCGGGCCTTGGACACAGGCTCAGGGGTTAGCCCGGGACGAGCTGCCGCTGCCTGCTGCTCCCCTGGCTGCGAGTCTCATGTGAACCCTTAGAGATGAGGAGAAAGAAATTCACTCAAAAAAGAGATTCAGGTGGGTGTGCCCCAAGGAGGGGGCACAAGCCCTATGTTCCCTCTTTAATTCCACACTGCCATTCTGAGAAGCATTTTTCAGTCTGTTGAGATCTTGCTTCTAGTAGCACGTTCTGTTTGGCTAAAAAAAAAATTTTTTTTCTTATATATGCTGCCAAAGTGAGCACTCAAATTCTTATAAAAATTCTGTACAGGTTTGGATATTCTTATGTCAACACTCATTCAATCCTCATCCCAACCGTATATGGTGGGTGCTAGTATTATTTCCATTTTACAGATGAAGAAACTGAAGGACAGAAAGGTAAGAAACTTGCCCAAGATCTCACAGATATTGACACTCACAGAAGCTAAGATATTACATGTTTGCAGCCCTTCAATTTTTCACTCCAAGGAACAATTCAAAACTTTTTTTAAAATAAAGAAACAGAAAGTCCCCTGGGTCTATCTCAGCCTCAGAGAGACTGTACAGGTCTAAGATAAGATGAGGTGGAATAGAAGGGTGTTCCAGGCTGAAACAAGGATGGGCATCCCAGAGGAAGGTGATAGTTTGGGAGACTCAGAAGTTTCTTTTTGTTTTTCTTTAATAGTTTATTGATTTTTAGAGAGCAAGGAAGGAAGAAGAAAGAAACATCAATGTGAGAGCACAACCTGGATCGGCTGTTTCCTGCATGTCCCCTGCTGAGGATCAAACCTGCAACCCAGGCATGTGCCCTGACCAGGAATTGAACCAGCAACCTTTTGGTGCTCAGGATGATGCCCAACCAACTGGGTCACACTGGCCAAGGCAGAATCAGAAGTTTTAAGCAGGGAGTCAAATGGGAGGGGGTGGGTGTCCAAGAATGCCAGTATCGGGGAGAAACAAATTCTCCTCTACCCTCAGAGTTCTTCTGGTTGGTCTATCATCAAATAGACATAAGACAGATTCGCAAGAGAAAATAACCAAATTTGCCCAGCCGGTATGGCTCAGTGGACTGAGCGTCTGCCCCTGGACTGAGAGGTCCCAGTTTGATTCCCTGCCAGGGCACGTGCTGGGGTTGCAAGCTCCATCCCCAGTAGGGGGTGTGCAGGAGGCAGCCGATGGATGTTAATATCTCTCTTTCCCTTCCTCTCTCTCTAAAAAAAAAATCAATAAAAACATATTTTTAAAAATAACCAAGTTTAATACATATATATGTCTGGAAACTGCACATATGAGTCTGAGACCCCCACATGCAGGAGAGGTTCGGAGACAGAAAAGGGGGATATAGACATTTGAGCTAGGTTTGAGGTAAGGTGCCTTGGGGCTTCAAAGGGCCATTGCAGGATAAGAAGAGCAGATGTTTATTAAGTAAAAGTTTTCTCTGCCATATACATAGGTTGAAAAGGTTATTGCTAATAATTTCTTGTTATGGGCAAGACCCCTAATTCAGTTTCTTCCTAGGTAGTTAAAGTGATGGGCAGAAGATTCTCTTGAGCCTGAAGCTAAAATTGCCTTTAGCTCAAAACAACTGGAATACCACAGAAGCATATCTTTGGGTGACTCCTTCTGAACCGCCACACCACTAAGGAATCAGGGTATTTTTCTGATAACTAGAGGGCACTTTTGGCAAATTTCTAGGTTGGAGTCAGTACATTGCACTAATGAGAAGGTGGAAGGGAGAAGAGGAAAGAGAAAAAGGTGAGTTGTGAAGGAGAGAAACGCTGTCTTTAGACTCTCCCCCAACAAACACACAAGAACTTTTTGCCCATTTCTCTTGTTTTCTGACACTATTCTGCAATCCCTGGATTTTCTCATTCCTCAAATGTCGTTAGGATCCTTTCAGAAACAACTCTTCCAGTCTTGGGGAAGGCTGGCAGGCAGGTCATTTCTAGTGACGTGCCAGAGTCGCCCAGAAGAAAAACAAAAAGGGAAGTTTAACAGAGCCGCCTCAGGGCTCACCTGGTCAAACGTCTCATCCTGCGTTCATTCATTTATAAGTATCTTTTTTTTTTTTTTCTTTTTAAGAGAGTGGAAGGGAGGGAGGGAACTTACAACCCAGGTAGGTGCCACTGACCGGGAATGGAACCCCGGACTTTTCGGGTGTACGGCCCACGCTCTAACCACGGAGCCAGGCCAGCCAGGGCTACAGGTGTCTTCTAAGCACCTTCTTTGTGTTAGTCCCTGGGGGTAAAATAGGAGTCAAGTGGCCCTGGCCTCACAAGGAGGAAGGCGTGAGGCCCAGGGGCACGGACTCGCCCCAAGTCACACAGCTAAAAGTTCTGTGGCCACACCGGGTCTGGAACGCAAAGGTTCCCCAGGGACACTCTCTGTCCTTTTCCCGGGAACTGGAAGTAGCGCGTCTCAGGAATGCAGGTCCCTGCAGGACTCGGGGGGCCGGAGGGTCCCCACTGTTCCCACGGCCCAGCTACAGAGACAAGGGCGGGACCAGCACTGGCGGGTCGGAGGCGGGGCCGAGAGGTCACAGGACCCTGCAGCTCCAGGGCGGACCCAGGACCACGGGGGGCCGACGGCCCGCTCGCGAAGGAGAATTGTCCCTCTGCAGCCGCCGTAGCAGAGCCGAAGCGGGCTCCGCCCCCGAGCTTCGTCCCGCCGGACAGAGGGAGTGACCAGGGATGGCTGGCCACGCAGGTGTGGGGGCCCCGCTGTGCTCGGAGCAGTTCGGCTCCCAGGCGGCCCGGAGCTGCTGCGCCGCTGCCGACGGGAGCCTGCAGTGGGAGGCCTGGGGGTGGCGCTGGTGGGGGCGCTCGGGGGCCTTGGGAGGGAAACCCGGAGGGCGAGCCTCGCCCCCCCTCTCCCGTCTCCTGGCCGTGTTCCTGCCCCAGGGCTTCCCGGACAGCGTCAGCGCGGACTACCTGCCCTACCAGCTCTGGGACTCCGTGCAGGTCAGCGGCGGCGGGGGGCGGGCGGCGGGGGGCGCCTGCCCTCGGCGTGGGCCGCTGCGACGTCGCCGGTCACACACCCCGAGCTGATGCTGGAACTTAGACCTCCACGCCCCTGAGCCCACTCCTCACCCCATTTCTTTTTTCGGTCCAGGCCTTTGCTTCCAGCCTCTCGGGCTCCCTGGCTACCCACGCAGTCTTGCTGGGCATAGGGGTGGGTAATGCAAAAGCCTCCGTTTCGGCTGCCACGGCCACCTGGCTGGTGAAAGGTAAGCGGGGCCCCTGGAGCCTGACCTGTCGCTGCCCTCAGCCCTGCCGTCTCTGGCCTCTTCTCCTCCGACCGAGAAGCCCAGCCCCTCCTTTACTCCTCTCCGTGTTCTGGACTGTGATGTGTGCATTTCTGGACCTGTGCCTGATGAGGCCCGGGAGCCGAGTCCCCAAGTGCCTGAACAGTGCCTTGTATTCCACTAAGGAAAAAACAAAATTCCGTTGAGTAAATTTTAAATATTTTTATTGGCTTTATTCAGTGATCCTGCGCACCAGCCTTGCAGCCACAGAACTGTTCAGAGACCCTAAATTATCTGGATCCCAAATCCCTAACTTAACCGGCCCCTCCCCCTCACCCCCAGGCTCTTTGTAGAGCGCGCTTAAGAAAATAAAAATGCCAGCTGCCTGCGGTGTGGGGAATTGGTTGGTAGTAGAAGAAAACATTTTGTAGTTGGTCCTAAAAGACAGGAGGTTCAGAGAAGAATGAAAGGCATTTTAGATTTTTTGGGATACTAGATGGTGCTATAAATAATAAATGTAGTAATCCTCTGTTAAATGTGTACAGTTTGTTGAGAAACCACTGAAAAAAAAGAAGAGACAGTTTGGCCCCATGCCACCCAGAGAGTGAAGTAAGGAAGGAAAGGGAAACTGCCCTATGCCCCACCTGTATCAGTAGGACCCATGGGGTGCTATCCACCATCCTTTGCATGAACTCCTGTTCCCACTGAGGATTGAAATGAGAGCCAGAGTCCAGCTCATCTGCTCCTAGCCTCGGCCTGGCCACATCTCTGATGAGCCTCCCTGAATCTTTTAGAGAATCAGGAGGCTCCTGCTTACATCCTTAAGCATTAAGACTGAGGAAACTGGCCTGACCGGTGTGGCTCCTGGTTGAGTGTCGACCCATACACCAAGAGGTCACCAAATCGAGTCCCGGTCAGAGCACATGCCCAGGTTGTGGGCCTGATCCCCAGTGGGAGACATGCAGGAAGCAGCCAGTCCACGTTTCTATCTCTCCCTCTCCCTTCCTCTCTCTCTGAAATCAATAAAGAAAAAAAATAAGCCCTGACCGGTTTGGCTCAGTGGTTAGAGCATCGGCCTGCGGTCCGGAGAGACCAGGGTTCGGTTCCCGCTAGGGGCACGTACTTCGGTTGCAGTTTGTCCCCGGCCCTGGTTGGTCGTGTGGGTGGCAGCCACTCGATGTGTCCCTTTCACATCGATGTTTCTCTCTCTCTCTCTCTCTCTCTCTCTTCCTCTCTCTCCCTCCCACTCTGTACAAAAAATGGAAAAATGTCCTCAGGTGAGGATTAAAAATAAAAATAAAAAATAAAAAAATAATAAGAAGAAGAAACGTATATGTCCTTAAAAAAAAAGACTGAGCAAACTGGCCAGACATGAGGTACCTCTGGGATAGTGCACATCAGTGAGGAGTGGTGATCTGTGGCTGCTTGTCCTACTTCACACAAACAATGCTTATATGCCCGTCTTTAAATGTACTGTCTCCGTCTTCATAGTAGTTCCGAGATAGGTATTGTCAGTTTTATAGATGAGGAAACTGAGGCACAGGAAAGTAACTTGCCCTGGGTCATAGCCAGTAAGTTGTAGGGCATGGATCTTAACCCAGGAGGGGTAGTTCAGAGTACATTTTCATACCACTGAACTGCTTAATTTGGATCTTTTCCGTTGCTGTCCTGTTGGCGAAGTGTCTGGAGCGCAGCAGGAGGCTGTGTGAGAAGCTGATGTTTCCATGTAAAGCTGAGCACCCTAGTCCTAGCACCAGCATGCTGCCTATAAATGTCTTTAAATTAATTTAAAAATAAGACCACTTTAAGATATAAAAAAATAACCATTTACTTTAGAGCCTGTTGTTGATATTTTTTTAATTAGAAAGAATTTTACAGACTCATTTCCATCAAATATGGGGAATTTGTATGTAGAACTTTAAGAAACTCCCTTAGAATTTTCTGATGTGGTCATTTTCAGTTACAGATCTCTTTTTTTTTTTTGAAGTTTTTCTTTGTTTAATTTTTTTAAATTGATTTTAGAGAGAGAGGAAGGGAGAGGGAGAGAGAGATAGAAACATTGATGAGAGAACGTCGATCAGCCGCCTTCTGCATGGCCCCCACTGGCATGTGTCCTGACTGGGAATCGAACTCGCGACCTCTTGGTGCACAGGTTGACGCTCAACCACTGAGCCACATGGGCTGGGCTCAGTTACAGGTCTCTTAATGGAACATGATATTAATTGTCATGTCTAACAAGAGGAGTAGTATTGTTAGCAGCTAATATTTTGACAGGCATACTGCACACTTCCATAATACATCACTTAATCTCTGGAGCAGCCATATTAGGTGGATGCCACTGTTGATCCATTTTTCAGAGGGGAAAACTGAGACACAGTAAGATTTAGTGACTTGCCTAAGATAACGTGGGGCCAGGTTTTGGACCCAGACTGACAGACTCCTGTGTCCCACTGTTAGCACCATACTCTTTTTGCCAGTTAGGATTTTAGAGTGGAGCTAAGTGCAATTTGTGGACAGCTGATCCCTTACTGGGACTCAAAAATCTCTAGATTTTATAGCTCAACTAATTGTAAACGAGGCAGAGACGAGCAGGTAGAAATTAAGTTTTCTAGTCTTGTGGACAATGCTGACTTTAAGATAATAGGGAGGGTATGGGTCATCATTGCATCCTGGTGCCAACCTCCAGATTCTGCCAGGGGCCTTTGCAGACTGCCTCTGGTGAAAGATGCAGTAGGCCCCCTTTCTGCCACGTGACCCTTGTATGCAGGACATACACCTGAGTGGTTATGAGTGTGCAGTTAAGGGAAGAAAAATGAGTCTGGCCCAGTGAACTGTCTCTCAACCAGTAAAAGTAATCTTGCCATGTTCAGAGCCACTAAGTTGGTTTTAAAGAATTTTATTGGCTTTATTCATTGATCCCGCCCACTGGCCTTATAGCCACAGACACTGTTCAGAGACCCTAAATCATCTGGATCCCAGATCCCTAACCTAACGGCCCCTCCCCTTTCCCCCTAGGCTCTTTGTGGAGGGCTGCGCAAGGAAATAAAACTGGCAGCTGCCTGCCGTGTGGGGAATTGGTTAGTACTAGAAAAAAACATTTTGTAGTTGAATCTTAAATGGAACGGTGAAAACTTTGTGTAGAATAAAAGGTATTTGAAGGGAAGGGGTAAGGTGAGTGGCAAAGAGAGGATGCCTATATAGCCAGCCTGGTGGGTGTTACTTGCAGGGACATCAGGAGATGCAAATGGAGAAGAGGGCAGGCTGGGAGGGAAAGGTGTTGACCTGCCTGTGAATGAGACAGCCGCTGCTCAGCCCCAGCCAGCTGTGACAGTGAGGGAGGGCAGGTCCAGTGTCGCCATATCTTCAGGTTCTTTCTGAAAAGCTGGGAATCCAGATTTTCTGTAAAATGTCCCATGTAGTTCATCTGTCTTCTTCAAGTTTCAGGTGCTTCGTCTGTGAAAGGGGCTGATTCCTCTGAAACTCAGGACTGTTGTGGAGATTGAAAGGCATATGTATTTCAGGTGTCCACCAGAGTGCTTAGTCCAGGACTGGGTAAAAGATGTCTCGTTAGAAGGCCTCAGTGTCTAAGGAGGGAGGCTGTGGCAAAGGATGAGTTCATCTGGTTCCAGTGGAGAATGGGGAAGGCTGGTATATATCACCACCTTTATATGTTGTGAGAAGCTCCCCACCTTCCTATCCACCACCCAGCTTCCCTTCCTGCATCTCCACTTAAGGATTCATGCCCTTAAGCTAAGACAAGTTGGGAATCCTCTGTCTGCTGTATCTGTCCTTTCCAATGCCCACTGTATGAGGCCTTTCTGGTTGTTTGGTTTTCAAATGTCCTTTGTGATCCCCCTGCTGAACGTAATGAGCCCTATTCCCAGTATAAGGTATAGTCTAAATCGGGGCGGCAGACTTTCTGTAAAGGACCAGATAGTAAATATTTCACACTTTGCATAGTTTCAGTCACAGCAACCTGATTCTGCCATTGTGTCACAAAAATATCCAATCTGTTGCTGACCTAAAAATAGAAGGCCTTTCAAAGTGAGAGGCAACAAACATTTATTTGAGGTTAGTAATAGCTATTTGGGATTCCTGCCTCCCTTCCCGACCTTGGTGGATCACGCCTGTGCAGTGGGGAGCGGCTCCCAGCTCCTCCTTGCCTTAGGCTGGCTGCAGTCTTAGTCTGAGTGCGGCTGTCTCGAATAAGATGAGGCTTTGCTGCTGTTCCTGGTGGTGGTGTTGGCATTGGTCCAGTGCGATGCCCAGTCAACCTTCAATGCCTAGCAAGAGATTAAAGATGCAGTAGTCCATGGGGCCACTGCTCAAGTTCCAGATTTGTGTTTCCTGAGGTTATAGACGGGTGTTTGAGGAGAACATACGGGCTATTAGCCAGAGATACCCAGACATCCAACTGAATATATGTACCAATATATAGACACACGGCATCTTTCCTGTCAGTCTCCAAACTAGTATTAATAGGCTTAATAATTGTTGGCAAGGATCCTTTAGCTTTCTTTTTTTTTTTTTTTTTTTTTTTGTTCCTTTATTAATTTTAGAGAGAAAGAGACATCAGTGAGAGAGAACATCGATTGGCTGCCTCCTGCATGCCCCCCACTGGGGATTGGGCCCACAACCTGGGCATGTGCCCTGACTGGGAATCGAACCAGTGACCTCTCGGTTGCATGGGACTATGCTCAGCACTGAGCCACACCGGCCAGGCAAAGATCCTTTTGCTTTCTTTGGCATGCAAGCTCCTATCATCTGGCAGTGGGGCCAAGACTATAAAGTCTATGCATTATGATGGTTTTCTTTTTATTTTTTTATTATTGATTGATTTTAGAGAAAAAAAGAGAAACATTGGTTGGTTCCACTTTTTAAAAATATATTTTTTTAATTGATATTTAGAGAGGAAAGGAGAGAGAGAGAAACATCAATGTGAGAGTGAAACATTGACTGACTGCCTTCTAAACACCCCTTAC